TGTATGGTGGATTTGTGGGTGTGTGTGTCTGTGTTTTCGAATTTTTCTCACCCACATCCAAACTCATTAACCGCAGAAGCTAGGAAGCTAAATTTTCACCAGGAGCCGTCGTCGCAATAGATCTTACTTCTCTTTGCGATAACCGTAGCTGGAAAAAAGAAATTCACCGGAAAGAGGAAAATACAGGGAACAAGCGAAGAAAGAACATAACTTCAAAGGCATACCGAACAGAAAAGGGTGAGGTTATGGAGAAAACCAAAATATTAAACAGCGACAGTGAGCTTCAGTGGGTGGAAAATATTTGGGAAATCGATATCTGTTTATTCGTTTCTTTCATTTTTCCCACTTTTGTAGAGTGTTTTTGTTTTTAGTACCGAATCTGGCGAGACAGGAGCAAAGTGGATGAATCCGGAGTGGCAAAATCACGTGGTTTTGGTTTTGTTAATTTCACGAAATTCAAAGATGCTTATGCAGCACTGAAACATCTCAATAATAATCCGGAAATTTTCGGCCCTAAACAGGTATACCGCATCTCAACATTTGTAGTTTGGATTCTTCTGAAACTCCTCAACATTTCCAACCGTACAGTACGATTCTGGAGTGGATGCGGTTCCGCTTGGAATAGTATTTTCGCATTTGTATCCTTTGAATAGAAAGTGAATAGGAAGGGGATTTTGGCTTTAATATTCCAATACTGATAATTATGTAATTGGAAACTGAATAACTTTTTTTAAAGTTGTGGATTTGATGGGAAAAAATCCGCAGCACCATAGCAACTGTTCTCAACGAGCATAGGTGGATCCAGGACGGGTTCTTGGGAAAGGACGGGGAAGGATGGGGGAGGAGGGAGAGAGTGGAGCTTCTGATGGGAAGAAGACCGGGGGTAGGGGGACTGGGGCTCCTAGGGGAAGGGGTGCGGAAAAGAATTTTCGTTAGTTTTAGCTTCAAATTCTGCATTTTTGTAGCACTGGTGCCCGTGCCGCGGAGGGAGGAGAGGAAACCCATCGCCTCCTCCCCCTAGATTTACCTAAGTCAACGATTCGAAAAGAATGAGATTTGACGTTTTTCCTTTGGCGCTTTGCCAAATATGAATCCTAACATAACGAGTGAAGCTCCAGGATCGGGTGTCCCAGCATAGCTGTGTACATTGTTGTGTTAAGCAGCCCTAGAACATCGTCAGCATTGAATTCATCTACCGATTATCGAAATAGATTTAGTAATCTTAATAGGCTTTTTTCGGTTATATTTCAAATTTTGAACGTTTTTCATTGCAGAGGCCAATTGTTGAATTTGCGATCGAAAATAGGGCAGCTTTGCGAATTCGTGAAGCTCGACAAAAAAAACTGAAGAGCAAGCAAGCAACGACTACCTCTGAAGAAACAGACCCGGACCTATTAGAAGTAGAGAAACTTGAAAATAGGGCTTTGCGAACTCATGAAACGCAGCCAAAGAAATCGAAAAATAAGCAAAAATTGACTGTACCTGAAGAACTGGATCTGGATCTGTTGGAAGTAAAGAAACAGCTTCGTTCCCAGAGACCACTGCCATCTCATGCCGGACCAAAAATACGTTGGAAGAAAGACAAAAAGACAAAACCGAACGCGAAAAAAGTAAAGTTTTTACCATATTTTTCACGTATTTTTTAATACAGTCTTTTGCGGAATCGAATATTCGTTGGTTACTACTAACCGGGGATTCGCAGTTCAGGATCGAAGAGCCTGGCTTAAGCTACGTTTAGCGAATGATTTACGTTTTAAAAATACCAGTAACATGGAATAACTACAACGATTACTTGGTTTTTATTGATATTCCTCGCTCTTTAGAGTTTTTGCGCAGTGTTTTGATTTCGTTTTGACTTTTCAAAAATTTTTTGAAAAAAACTGTTGGCTTACAGTAATGGTACTTAACATTTCCTTCAAACTTCAGTTATCGATGGAGAATTCTAAATCATTGCGTTTCCCCTTCTGTTTCTTCCTGTCGTCTTTCTCTGTTCATTTCCTTTTCTGTTGAGGCCTGCGACCGTCATACTGATGAGGTTCTGTTGCGGTGTTGAGTTAAGACATATATGACTTAATGGACCGGAACGTCTTATCCCGTTCTTACCTTCTTCCCTCATACTGTTCTTTCATGCTATAATCTATCGCGCCTTCAGTATTTAGGCTTTCAGAGTCAACCTGGTTGCTACAATCTGCTAAAATCACCTGATTATTTCGTTTTTGTGGCAAATTGGCACCGGTCCACTTCAGAAAGGCGAATTTTTTTAGTCTAACAAGCCCTGGGGAAGAGGGTTGGTTGGTTGGTTGATGTTGGCAGCGCGCAGTTATTCAGTCAATGTTGAGTGCCTTTGGTTTTTATAGAAAGTGAACTTTGAAATGGTTTTGATTTCTAACTTTTACCAAGAATACCAAGTGTTTTGGAAATTTTTTATAAAAATGTAAACTATGAAAGTTTGTTTGGCACTGTAAACCAGCCGATGAAAGGGACACAGTCGAATACTGTTAGTTGTGGGAAAGCAATGAGTGCTAATTCAGATACCCAGATAAGCGAGCCTCTATTTGCATTAGCTGTACGATACGATTTTATGTTAAGACCGCACAGGGATATGATTTTATGTTAACGAGTTGCAGCTATGCTAGGTTTTTGAGGCTATAAATCTCCAGTTAGTGCCCACCGCCTGTTCGGTGTATGTGCGCCACCTCTTCGTGATCATCCCAGTGGTCATTTATTCTTACGTGCATAATTCAGTAATGCGTAATATTCACTGGTTATCGGCAAAGCGAACAGTCTGTGCTGCTTATCGGATTTTATTTTCTAGCGTAATCGCAGTAATTTCCTCCTCCTTGCTGATCCACGGATGGAGTAGTGTGATTTCATGTCAGCATTCGCCATTGGTGGACCCAAAGGGAAGGGGACAATGAGGGCAAAGACTCGCTCCCCCTTACTCTTCTGAACCCGTCAGTGGCGGGCATATCAAATGTGATACAGAAAACCACAAGTTGAAGCAGTCCCGGGGCTGTGTATCCTTGGCGAACAAACTTTTTTGTTGTTTCAGGCAAAAAAAGCAGGGACGAGCAAAGGTGTGAAGAAACGAAGCGAGAACAAATCGGAAGCAAGTGGAAAAATGCCAAAGAAGAAAAAACGAAACCTTTCGACGAATCTTGCTAAATATTTGACACTTTGTGGTTGAATAGATCTCGTTTTGGATAGCATTAGCAACTGCTTTTTGCCTTAAATATCCGCTACTTCGTCGTTGTTTTCTTTTTCATCACTGATTTAACCAAAAACTCCAATTTTCATTCTTACCCTCTCTCATCCACTTAATTCCATGCAGTTGTCCCAGTGCATTGATGACCTTCCCTGTGTTTTTTTAACATTGTGATGGTACCATTCAAATGTCCTCCTCGCTCAGTCTGATCCGTTTGTGCATGTGTAATTTTCTCAGGTGTTTTTTCAAATATAACGATTTAGGATTATTTAGTCTGTGTGACTTGAGAAGTGTATTTGCTGGATTTGTAGTTGAAGGGAGTAAGGCTTAATTTTTTGTTATTTCTTAAAAAAAAAATAACTCAATACCTAATAAAACATAAATCAAACGCCTGTATTTAAATACTTGTAACAGCTTGCAGTCTCATTTTGAAATTATTGT